TACATCTAAGATTCTTTCTCTGAATGCCAAGAACTCAGGGCTCATGTTGTTCTTTTCCACGTGGACCATTTATCAGCTTCCATCACTGCGAACTGTCAGTGTTTGATGGTGGTAATAGATGCCTTCAGTCATCAGGTTTGCTCCTCTTCAAACCTTCTGTTCTGATGTGAATTCTGGGGTCCTCCACTTTCAGCCTCATCTGTGGCAGCCGCCAGCCTCTCCTCTGCAGACATCAGAGCCATGAATGTCTTGTAAAAGCACTAGCCTTGTCGCCTCAGGCGGGCCTGCTCAGGACTGGGGAGCAGCCTGGGCCAGCCAGAGTGACAGATGGCAGTGTTTCCAAACTTGTGTAGGACATGTTTCCTACATTCTGGGTGACAGTTTCTTGTTTTGGTGGCTTATTTTGTAGTGCTTGGATTCAGTGAAGCAACACTAGATTTAGCCAAGAATGTTCGAACCATCTATAGAAATTGCCAGTGGGGGGGAGGGAGGTACAGAGGGTGTTGGGAATGGGGTGGAGAGCTCTTCAAGCAAGCACAACTTGGAAGGAATTGTTCATCATAGACTTCTAGTAACATGCTCCACCTGAAGCAATAAGGAGCCTAGGAATTATCTTCTCTCCTTTTTGAGAGGCACAGAGGACAGAGGAGTCTATTGACTCATTCCAGATCACAGAAATAAATATTGACTGAGCCAGGGCCATACCACAGGCAGCTGCCTCTAGCCCAGCATCTTACCCTAATAAGAACAGGAGAAGAGACCCTAGTGTACTCCCCATTACGGATGGAGACAAGCCCCCCAGACTTCCGCTAAACCAAGTTTACCCCCATTACATCAGTATCTTCTGGATGGTCTCTAAAAGATAGGCCCGAGTTCCATCTGATTCTGTCAGCAGGGGTGGTGCCAGGACATCAGGTGTGGCCCCACTGCTCTGACTGGCTGGCTCTCACAGGGTACTGCTGTCAAGAATTAGATCTCTGCTGTGTTCTCAGGGGGCCCTTTGCTCCCACAAGGTAGAGAGGATGACAGATGGAACAGCTCTCCACCGAGACTTGCTCTTTTTAAACTGTGAATGCCAAAGATCCTCAGCCTCAGCTTATAAAGGTTCCAGAGAGCTGGGTGAGGTGCCTCAAGCCTGTAATCCTAGCTACTTGGGAGACTGAGATAGGGACAGGATCTTGGTTCGATGCCAACCCAGACATAAAAAAAGTTTTTGAGAGTCTGTCTCAACCAGTGGCTGTGTGTGGTGGTATATTGTCATCCTCAATGATAAAGGGGAAGTGCAAGTAGGAGGATTTCAGCCCAGACCCCCCTGGGCATAAAGTAAGACCCTATCTCAAAAAGAACAAAGGCAAAGGGGGCTGGATGCCTGCCTTGCAAGAACAAGACCCTGAGTTCAATCCCAAAAATGTTTTTAAAAGGAAAAACAAAAAGCGGCACCAAAGACTAGGTAGCTGAAAACGCATGGGAGGAAGAGGACCCAGACATCAGCATCAGTAAAGCTCCCAGGCGGTTCCAGATGGTTCTTAATCCAGGGAGGCCGCATACACGTGGGTCAGAGCAGGATGCTCCCAAGTGTTGTAGCACTGCCCCCACCCTGCTAGGTTAACCACGTGCATCTGAGTTTGCCAGCCCAGAGCGGGGATTAAGGGAGTGCAGAGGCTGCTGGGCTCACCGGCCCTCTATCATCTCACCCTCATCTATCCTTGACCCAGAGCAGTGACTCCAGCCTGCATCCGCACATCCTGAGCATCCTCAGCTGGTGGGTGGGAGCTCAGACAGTGAGCTGGGTCCTAAGGGGGCCGTGTGACTGTGTCCCTCTCTGCCCTAGAAGAATGTGTCATCTGGCAAGAGAAATAAGATACACATATAAAAATAACTATGCTTAGGTAAGACAGAACCAGGAAGTGCCACCAAAGCAGGAAAATGTAGGTGTGGTATTTTATAATCTCAAAAGAAAAGAAAAACACTATCGACTTCCATTTTGCACTGAAGAATGCTAGCTCCAACAATGCCCAGCAAAAGCTGAGTTGAGATCTGAGGGTCACAATTCAAAGTTAACCTGGGCAGGAAAGGCCATGAGATTCCTATCTGCACTTAACTACCAAAAAGCCAAGAGTGGAGCTGTGGCTCAAATGGTAGAACACCAGCCTTGGATAAAGGACAGTACCTAAGCCCTGAGTTCAAATACCAGGACCAACACACACACACACACATGCTCTCTCTCTCTCTCTCTCTCTCTCTCTCTCTCTCTCTCTCTCTCTCTCTGTGCATGATTAACCAATTCCAGAGGGCTCAGTGCCTTGTCTGTGGTGAATGTCATCTTGCCACCCCCCCCCACCCTGGCATGCCCAAGTCACACAGAAAGCAGGAGTCAGCTAGACTGACCGTGATGCCAAGCTGGGGGGATCTTTATTATTCACACTGAGGGTTCTTCAGCTCCTACAAGCCACACAGCATGTCCACCCTGGGAATCACATTAGCACCTCCTTGTTTTGTCCCTAGATATCCCTCTTTGATTGGAATATACTGCATTCCTTAGCGCCCACATTGCCAGCCTATAACACCCAGGCCCTCTAAGATTTGTCAGTAAGACATTACCCTCCTTTCTGTAGGATTCACGTACAGGGTGTCAGCCCATGCCCGTCCACTTTTCCCACTTGTCATCATTAGGGCTAAATGGAAGATGTGTTCTCATTTGGAGCTGTGGCTGTATAGCTTCACTAAAATGACACCCAGGGTGAAGGTGGGACATTGTGATGGATTAGAGGCCACCGAACCAGTAAGGAATGCAGGCCTGTGTGAAGATAGCCTTTAGAACAAGGCTTCCACCATGGGACCATTTGAACAACCCTGCCTGGGAAAAAGGCCGGTCTTAAAAGACAGGAGTGGTAGCTGGATGCCGTCTGTATAAGTTCATTGTTGCAACTAATACTCCTTTAAACTGGCCTGTGCTTGTCCATCTGCCAAGTCCTATGGGGAACATTTGGGGTGAAAGTGGTCCTGGGGAGAGGATGCTAGGGTGGGGCACAGTCGCCTCCTCAGGAGCTTTCTAAGGGGAGATGGATGGGAAGGACGCAAGGCCCCCAGTGTCTCAGCAGGGTCCTCGGCAGCGTAGTGGCCTCCAGGAAGCTGTCTCCTGTGTTGCTGTACAGGCTGAGGGGTGACTCCTGACTGTCTCTTCCCACCCCCCATCACCCACTCACCTTCCTTTTGGATGGCCCTCAGCAATGTCTGGTACTCCGTCTCCAGTAGGAGCCTTTATCTGCAAAAGAAGGATAATGGATTTCCTTTCTCGGATAAAGGGGTTTCCTTCCCCCACCCCCGCATCCACTTTCTCTCAGACTTTTTGTCCAAAATGTGCTCCAACTCCAGAAAAATAGCCCTTTTGTTAACAGATCTTATTGACCGCCCTCCCCTCCCCCAGCCATCACCTTCTCCTGCTTCCAAGGAAACCTGCTGTGTCAAATCTGTGGTAAGAGAGTGTGAAAGAATAACCTGACTTTCGAGTCTTCCCCACCTGCTTCCTTCTCCTCTGCAGCATCCCCTGAACCTGACTGCGGGCCTGCAGCAGGAGCCAGGGTACGGAGGTCGGGACAGGGGGCATAACTTGACTTCTTCCTTATCTTCCTTCAGCAGTTTCCAGCCACACCACATCTTCAGAAAGCTAGCCCCTGCCTGGAAGAGCTGGGGAGAGGACTAGGTCGGGGTCCCATCCTGGGCTCCTTCTGGGTTCACTGGGAGACTCCTTCCCAGCCTGGGACAACTGTACATTTGTTTCACCTGGATCTTTCTTTTTCCCCTTTCAACAGCCCTATTACCATATTTAAATGCAAGTATGTCTCTTTTCATTGACATTTTAAGTAGCTTAGCCTGACCTTTTTAGAGTAGCTTGTTCCCCTGTGAACTTCTTTACCCTTGGTAGTACCACGTAGCATAGGACAGTAGTCTTAATTTAGTGGGCTTCTAGACCACTCTGTCTGGAGGATGTCTCTCTCTCTCCTTTCTCCTTCCTGCCCCTGTGTGCATGTCTTCCTCCATCCTGTTGATGTCTCTTATTGCAAAGACTCCATGGCTAAAATTGACTGGCTCCATTGGGGGCCATTTATTGAGTTTGTGGTTGGCTTCTGGCACATCATTAAAAACCACAGCTATTGGAAGTAAGTCTTAGGGTCAGGCCACCAAGTGTCTGCCTAATGACAGAGGCTGTTCATGTATATAGGAGTTGGGTCTGTGTGTGTCCCAGTGTGTGGCTATGTGTGCACATGCTGAGGGCCAGAGAAGCCCAGGGCAGAGGACTTGGGCCCACTTCTTCCTTCATCTAAACGCTCTACAGCCATGTACCTTGGCCTCCTGACTTTATTCTAGGCTGGCCCAGTTTTGCTGCCCAGGGTATTTGCAGATAGCACAAATCTAGATTTAAAAACTCCAGACACCCCCAGGAGACTCTCCAGTGCCCGCCTCATCTAACTGTGCACCTCAGTCAGAAGAACCACACCTCAGTCCCCAGGAAGTGAAACCGTGCCATCGTTAGTCCACATGGAGCCCTGTAGCCCCTCACACTTCTCCCAGAGACTGAGATGCAACGGGCATGAAGTTCTGAGTTGAGATGGCTGACTCTTTGAAGAAGAGATTATCTGTCCTGTCTCCAGGCTACAGTGCCTATCCTGCCTGGAGGCTGCCTCCAGTGCTTCCTGCTGCCTGTGGCTCCAGCTGACCTTGAGGCAGATTCCCGCAAGAAGCAGTATGCCAGTCCTGGATGAGGGTGATGGCTTGTCAGTGTAGAGTTAGCAGGCAAGTTAGCCCCATCTTCAAAAGATAGGGAGCTATTGTGTGCCTTCCAGAAGCCTGAGAGCCACTGATAATGTCCTCCCCAAAGCTACCCATGACACCTCTCTCCAGGCCTGTCTTCTGTGTGAGCTGGGGACAGGAAGCCTGGCTGGGGGCTTCCCGGGACCTCTCCAGGCCCCACCCTGACTCTGGCCCTTCTCTCTCTCTAGGCTTCCCTGCAGCAGCTTATGGACCAGTGGCAGCGGCAGCGGTGGCAGCAGCCCGAGGATCAGGTAGGAAGGTGTGCGGGACAGGTGGCTCCCAGGCATGCCCCAGTGTGCAGGGGAAGGTAAAGGCCCTGTCAGATCTTTGTGGCTGCGTCTGTCCAACACTTGTCACCTCAGCCAGGCAGGGAGGGCAGGGAAGGGAGGGCAGACAGGGAAGGCAGGCATGGGTGAGCCCCAGGCACCCAAGGCAGTGGCTGCTGAGTACCAGTCAGCTGGGACTACACTTAAAAGTAAACTATTGTAGTCACATTGCCTAAGGCGAACTGGATTTCCTTTTGATTTTGGACTACCTTTCCACCCAAGGTCCGACTTCTGCGCCCTGAGACTGTTGCCTTCTTTGGCTATGGCTGGCTTACCAAGCTTCTTTTCCTTGATTGTAGTACCAGAGAGGCACTAGATTGTCCTCTGGGCCCCGGTGGTACTTGCAGGCAGGCTGTTGGACTCATTGGACTCCGAGAGCCCCCCTGAAGGCCAGGTGTGGTCTGCTTCTTGACCTCAAAGGAGGGAAGAAAGCTGCTGTGGTCTGGAGTCCTAGCTGTCCCCTGACTGTAACTAAGGCAACCCCCTGGGCTCCAGCTGCCAAGAGAATCAGGCATTTCTCTCCCAGCCCTTTAGTCTTCAAATTAAACCTTTTTAAGAGGTCTGAAACCCCAGTGACAAGTGACATGGGAATACTTTCCCAGCAGTGCTACGAGGCTACCGCTGAGTACCCTCTGCCTTCCTAGGCACTGGGGCCTGTGCCTCGCATGGGGTTCCCTGTGAGCTGCAGCTCAGTCCCTATCTTACTCCCCTCCACCCTGCCCTGGGCATGTGTGCGGGAGTACCCAGGGAAGTACTTAGTTTGCATAACAGGGCTCTGTGGGAGAGGTGGCGGGCTGGGCGGGAGCAGGGGAGCTGGTGAGGGAGCTAGTGCTGAAATGGAGCACTAAAAGCCCAGAGGGCAAACACCAAAAACCCAAACCCTGAGTGGTAAGAAACTGGCACAGAGAGGCCCATTAGAAAACATCAGTGAAAATCCGTTCCATGCAAACTGGCACTGCCTCCAAACTACAAAGGATCCACTCCTTCAAACTGTTCCACTGGGGTTTTGTTGAACAAGGTGGGGTGGCAGAGAATTCTCAGGGGGCTGCTAAGGGCCCAGGGAGCTGGTGAGCGGCAGGCAGGTCCCCAAAGCTGAGCATCCTCCGCTTCTATCTGCCCTCACGGGTGTCCAAAGCCCCTTCCTACCTTCTGGCCAGAGTCTCCTCTGCCCCCTGGGTCCTGAGAGCAGCTAAATTGCGTCTCCCTATTCTGTCTGGTTTATGAACTTGAGTGCTTTTTACTATTCATTTAAAAAAAAAAAAAAGCCTCAGTCCTACCTACCTGTGCCTGAGACAGGAGAAACTATCTTGAGATTTTTTTTTTTTTGAGTGTTGTTGGTTGTTTTTTCCATTCCGTTTCTTTCTTTTTATAACTTGGATTATGAAACTAAACTTTAACCCAAAATTAACCCTGCCTCTCTCCCTACCCCACCCTGTTCTCCTTGACTTCATGGCAAGTTTAAAGGGCAGCATGGGGTTCTTTGCGAGTCTGAGAGCCGTCTCCCTACAGTCTGTGCCCCTGTTGGCCACCCCGCCCTCTCACAGAACCTCCCCCTCCCCCAGCCAGCCGAGCGTGCCACCTGCCCGTCCTCTAACTCCTAACCCCCAAGGTCATCTCCAACCACACTTTATTTTTTATTTTTTTCCCAGGATCAATGGTGTTTTATTTGTAGTCATTTCCATTGGGAGCAAAATCTCCCACAGGCCATCCAAGGTCAGCCATGTTCATTGTTGCACTGTTAGTGAATTGTATTCAGGAGTGTGCTCCCCAACCACCTGCCCACCCCAACCTGGAATAGTGCAAGGAAGCAATCCTTAACTAGACATGCCTACTCCGGGTACAAGCTCACCAGACAGCTACAAGGAAGTCCCCCGTGTGTCCTAAGGGTCACAGGCTTGGGGTAGGGTATACCTGCCACTGTCCACCACATGGCCTGACTTGCTTATGGTAGGAATGTATCTCAGCCCTCAGCCCTACCTTTGGACCTGGAGTAAGGTTAGAAACAAAGAAAGACTCTTGCCTTTCTTTTAGCACATTTTGGCTGCCAGGGCAACTGTCACCTTCCCGCTAAAAAATGATCTGCGCTCTGATTCTGGCAGGTTGGCCAGTGATTTATCTGTAAGTGGCCTTTCATTAGCTGTCTGCTAGTTGAGGAGGACTACATAGATTTTCACGGGCATACGCATTAAGTCTAGGCCCCGAAAGGGGACCCAGGGGACTGATGACCCAGTTCTACCTGTACCACCTTCAACTACCCTGGGCCACTCCTCCCGAGCTGCCAAAGACGCACCTCCAGCCTCCTGGGCCTGCAGCCTGATTGTGAGAAATCATCACACAGTGCATGTTCCCAGCGTCCTCTGAATACCTTCCTGGAGCTTGGTACCATGCATACCATAGCTGGCAGGTGACTTCACACAGGAGAGATGTGGCCTCTGCCCCCACTGAGGGTTCTCAGGCATGGGTTTAGGGAGTAGGCCTCCTGTAGAAGGCAACTTTTTCTGTATTTTTGCCTAGCTCCACCATGATGGTTTTGTGATGGCTTTCGGGGGCCTTTCCTGAGGTGGGAAGCACTTGCTAAGGACCGTGGGATAGGAAGCAGCTTCCTTTTGGCTCAGAATGGCAGCTTGTGTCCAGCAGGGCTGTGCTGCCACTGTAGCAGGTCTGGCGGGCAGAGGGGGCCTTGGCTCTGCACCTACCCCAGCCCACTCCTCTGGGCCAGCTGCCCACCTTTTCCTAGTTCCCCAGGACCTGAGGTGAGCAGGGCGTGGGTGACCCCTACCGAGGGAGGTCCCTGCTGACTCCTAGATAACTTCACTATCAGTGTTCACTTTTCTTTTGCCTTCACCTGGTAGTTTGAAATATCATCTTTCTTGTGCTCAGTCAAAGAGTTTGTTTGTTTATTTTGCTCGTGTTCATTCAGTTCCAGCGGCCCCATCACGTCCCATCCAAACCTAAATTCAGTTTGGTACATGACTTCCCCAACAGGAGGGAAGTGGTTCCGCTTTTCAGGCTGTTTTATTTTGGGGGCGACATTACAGGTGGGCCCACGTATCAGTCTGCAGAGCTGCTGAGCCCCACGGCCCTCCCCTCTCCTCCCCTGCCCACCTCCGGCCCCTGCCAGGACCCTTTACTGTGCTTTATACTTGCCAGCTTTATTCCAATGTAGTGACATGAGCTCCTGATGGTGGTGGTGAGTGTGAGCAAGTCATGTTTCTGTTGTCTTTTCTCTTGCTTGGTTGGGGCTGCGGTGAGAGTGTCTGAGGCATACTTTCCCGCCTCTCTTACACTAGGATCTGCACACCTCCTCTCAAACACTCTTCTGAGCACGCTCAGCGGGAAGGTTTGTCCACACCTATTAATCCTCTCAGTGTCCAGCTTCCTGTCAGTACCAGCTGGTTTGCATGTTTTTGCTTGTTCAGATGAAACAATTCAAGAAACAAAACTCATATCCAACTCTCGAGAAATGTCTTTTTTTTGTACACTTTCGTTTTTTATTTATTTTTTATTAGTTACAACTCCAAAACACCTGTTGTCCAGTTAAACATTTCACACCTCCCTGCCTGTTCTTAGATTGTATGTATCTGTGGGACTGAACTAAATGCATGCACTGTAGTAGATGTACTGGTAGCTGTAGCTGTAGTTGTAGAACATGCATTGTTGAGTTGATATTACAGGGTCTCCGAAAGCTGGGCACAGCCTGGCCTTGTGAGGATAGAGTGGGGACCAGGGAGAGAAAGGGCTCCATATTTTCAACGTTGCCAAAGGGGCTTGGATCCATGTTCTCACCATCAGCCACCACCACCTCCCCTCACGCTCCCTGCCCCACCCCCAGTCCAGAACTGGGTCAACCCCGAAGTGCTAGCCTGCCCAGCTGGGGTCCTGTGTTGAGTGTCCAACCATAGCGAACGAGAATGGAACCAGGGTTGGAAGGAGTCTTCAAGATCTTCCTCATTCTTGTCTTCCTCTTACTGCTCTTGACCCGAGCAGCAGGAATTTATCCCCTAAGGTATATCAGCCAGTCTACCCCCAAGCCCCACTTCTTGGAGTCCTTGGACTGCTGTTAAGGGACGCAGGTCTATGTGGCAGCCCTGTCAGAGTGGTCCACTCCTTGGGGTGGAGGGTAGTAAGCTAGAGGAGACAGAGCATCAGGCCCTGAAGACAGGGAATGCAATTGCCCTAGTGGGTATGTGTTCTCATGAATGCTGGTGGGAAAGGAAGCTGGTGGGGTGAGTCACGACATCTCTAGTAGAGGTGACCAGCACAGCCAGACAAGAGGCCACTCACAGCTTTGGGCTGTCTTCCTAGGAGGGCTTCATGGAAGAGACTTCTGCCCTCTACTCAGGACTGTTTTTGTCAGCTTCATTAAAAAACAGAAAGTAGACCAGTGTGTGCATCCATTAACAAGACCTGATAGAGTATGAGAGGTGAAGGACACAGTTAATCACTTCTACTTTCTCTCCATGCCTAGAAGCGAGCATCCTTTGGAGTCTGCATCCCCACAATAGACCATCTGTGGCTAAGATCTTGGGGATCCTAGAATGCATCCCCATCTGTGGTCATGGAAGAGAGCTGGCAAAGACACTCTGGGCAAGAACAAATGGGTGACCTGTTAGGACCAGCCGCAGCTGCTGCAACCCACCAAGCTTACCCAAAGGACCGTGTGTGTGTGTGTGTGTGTGTGTGTGTGTGTGTGTGTGTGTGTGTGTGTGTAAGAGAGAGAACTTGTACTCAGGGCCTTACACAAAGGACCGTGTGTGTGTGTGTGTGTGTGTGTGTGTGTGAGAGAACTTGTACTCAGGGCCTGGGTACTGTCCCTTAGTTTTTTTGCAAAAGGCTCTGTCATGTGGAGCCACAGGGCCACTTCTGGTTTTCTGGTGGCTAATTGGAGATTAGGGTCTCACAGGCTTTCCTGCCAGGCTGGCTTC